CGAAACAGACCCGAACCCTGCAGGGAAGGAACGTGGCGAAACAGAGGCGAAATCTGCCAGAACTTGGCGAAACAGGCGCGAAATCCACCAGGCAAGGAGAGAACTTGGCCAAGTTTGCAAGCCGACGGACGATCCCGGCTTCCCTTTGCCCCCAATTTCAACAGCTCCCTTTTTTTTGGGGGGGGGGGAGAGTGGAGATCCTCCCGCAGAGATCCCCCCACTTGGGGAAACGCCGAAGGATCCCTCCCGATCCCTCCCTTGGAAGGCTGCTCCCTCCTCCCGGCGCGCTCACCTGCGCTTTGAAGTAGAGGAAGAGCGCCAGGCTGCAGATGACCTGGCCGAGGCCCAGCAGGACCAGGGCGGCCAGGAGGGCTCGGGAGGCGGACGGAGAGTGAGACGGGGAGGACGTAAGTCCGGACGGCTGCAAGGAAGGCGAAGGGGGAGAGCCGCCCTCGGCGCCGCCGGCCCCCAGCTCCTCGGCGCCGCGCAGGTACTTGGAATAGTCTCGGCTGGCGCGCCGCATCTCCGAGCGCTCCCGCCGACCTCCGGCGCTGCCCCAGGCTGAGCGGACGGCCCGCTCCGGACGGCCCTTTATCAACTCGGCCCGGCCCACCCCCAACCCACCGCCCCTGGGCCGGCCTTTCCCCCAGCCCACATCCCCTTCCTCCGGCGCCGCCCAAGGGAGTGCCAGGCTCCGGAGCGCTGCGCGGGGGCGCGGAGAGAAAGAGAGAGAGAGAGAGAAAGAGAGAGAGAAAGAGAAAGAGAGAGAGAAGCGCCTCCTGGCGCAGTTGGCACCTCCCCGGGAGACCCCTTTCCCCCTCCCCCAAAGTACTTGATGAAATGTCTAGAAGAGGTCAAAGCGAACTTCGGAAAAAGAAGCCTTAAGAAGGGGGAAAGGTACAGGAGGGAGAGAGAGAAAGGCAAAAGAAAGACAGGAAAGAAAAACAGAAAGAGAAAATGAGGGAGGGAGGAAAAGAAAGGAAGAGAAAGGAAGGAAGGGCAAGAAAGAGAAAGAAAGAAAGAAGGACGGAGGGGAAGACAAATGACAGACAGAAAAGAAAGACAAAAAGAAAGGAAAGAAGGAAAAGAAAGAGGGAAGGAGGGAGGGAAAGAAAGGCAGACAGAAAAGTAAGACAGAAAGAGAAAGGAAAGAAAGAAAGAAAGAAAGAAAGAAAGAAAGAAAGAAAGAAAGAA